ATTGAGTGATAACATTTTAGAGCAATTTTCAATGCATTTTTCAAAATTACGCTTACGTAAACTTTGAACGGCTTCATAAAAAGGATCCAAAGTTTTAATAACATCACTATCCATTATAAAAGAGACAATTAATATTTTATTATATTTTAAAGCAATAAAAAAATTATATAATTAATAGAAAAACAACACAAATTCTAGATAAATCAAGAAATTTGAAATTATATATTGACTTAAATGTGGTGAAATTTTTTATTACTACTTGAATTATAACTTATACTTTAAAATTATTATTATAGATTTTGTTGTACTAGAGATAGGTACTACCTATTAGGTAGTCATAATGATTTTCATCCAAAGACCTTATAATATANCATAATGATTTTCATCCAAAGACCTTATAATATGATTTTATCGAGTTGTACAAGTTTATGGAGATAACAGGATTTTAAAATTCAAAATGGCGACGAAAAATGAAAATTGATGAGAACAGACAATTGTAGTTAATGACTGATTTGTAGCTATTTCATATTTATTGAAAATAATTTTTGACTATATTATTGTGAACCTTGTTTCTTTTATTAAAAATAACTTTTACATTTACATCAGTTACAAGACTATAGTTTTTACATAAAAATTGAGAAAATTAAGTATTTTAGATATCACCCTGATAAGATAGTAAATAATATTTAGTAAATTTGTTAAAAGTTGAATGAAAAATTATGGTGAAAGATTTTTACCGTCGTCAAAGTGTTTTAGAAATCAGATAACAACTATAACGAATGCCTCCGGCTTTGGCGTCCATGGAACACCTTGGTCCAGGTTTTGTCAACTCCAAATTGCGCAACCCTTATTCTCCGTCACGTTCAAAATTTCATAGCCCAAATACAACGTATGTAAATACATCGTCATATCAAAAAAATAAATGTCCTACTCAACCACCAACAAATTTACCATTATGGACTGCAATTTACAATTACGAAGCTCAAGGAGAAGATGAGTTAAGTTTAAAACGAGGTGATATTGTTGAAGTTCTTTCAACTGATGCAAAGATATCAGGAGATGAAGGATGGTGGACTGGAAAACTCGGTGATAAAGTAGGTATATTCCCAGCAAATTTTGTCACCGAAAACAATATATTAGAAAACGTTCCTTCTCTTATTGGTAATGTCCATATTACTGAAATTGGCTTCAGTGAACTTGAACTTGAAGAAGTTATTGGAGTTGGTGGTTTTGGTAAAGTCTATCGTGGGTATTGGAATAATAAAGAAGTTGCTGTTAAAGCAGCTCGTCAAGATCCAGATGAAGATATTAGTGAAACAGTGAAAAATGTGAAACAAGAAGCTAACCTTTTTTGGTTATTAGATCATGAAAATATTGTATCTATGTTAGGAGTATGTTTGCAAGTGCCAAATTTATGTTTAGTGATGGAATATGCTAGGGGAGGGTCATTAAATCGAGTTTTGTTGGGAAGAAAGATTCGACCAGATGTTCTAGTTGATTGGGCAATTCAAATAGCTAGAGGAATGAATTACTTACATAATGGTGCTCCAATATCACTAATTCATCGCGATTTAAAATCATCTAATGGTAAATAAGTCAAATAATTTTCATGTTATATTAACCTATTAAATAGTTAAAACTTTTAAAAAAATGATCTACTAAGATTATCTCTCAATCCAGGGTTTCTAATGAAAGTCTTGAAATTATGAATGGTTTGCCTAAAATAGTTTTCTTAAAGGGTAACAATACCAATGAATGAACACTTCCAGTGAACAAACGCCACTGAGTTTTTAACTAAATAATTTTTTTATCTGATTGTAATTAAATGTTGCCAATAATTTTTATAATAAAGAAAATATCTAAATTATATCCTACTGCAATATCACAATTTTTGATACTATATTATTTGTTGAGAAATTAAAATTTGCAAAGATTAAGAATATGTTTATGTGAGTTATAAATATTTTTATCTTATTATTATAGAGAATTTTCCAGAAAACAAATATTTATTAACATTATGAATGTGACATCAAAATATAAATAAATGAAGAATTTTAAAAGATTAAAAACTCTAACTTTTCATTCATTTCTGAAGTCACTCTGTTTTTTTTTATTAAATATATTATTTTAAGTATATTGAATCAATAAATATGATATATTATATGTTATATCTATCTATATATAACTAATATAATCTATAAGTATAAAGAATTTGTTTTAGATATTAAAAGTTTTATGAATCCAAATGAAACCTTAATAACAAATGCCTTTAAATTCATAAAACCTTGTGATAATCAAGATCATTTTGAATAAAAATTTAATTTGTAGTTTTCATAAAAACTATTTACAATTTTAAAAACTTACAATAAAATTACATAAATTTGTAATGTAAACTTATTCTTTTATATTTTATAGATATTTTAAGGACATAAATAAAAAAAACATCTTTAAATGTTTAAGACCACTTAATCACTTGATGTTTATTAATTTCTTAAAGAATATATTATGAAATATTGTTGAAATATTCTATAATTTTTAAAAGTTTAACTTTTAAACTAGTAATATATATTTGTATTTAGTGCTGTTGAATGAACCGATAGAAAATAATGATTTTCAATTTAAAACTTTGAAGATTACTGATTTTGGTTTAGCAAGAGAAGTTTATAAAACAACCAACATGTCAGCTGCTGGAACATATGCATGGATGGCACCTGAAGTAATAAAAAAATCTACATTTTCAAAAGCAAGTGATGTTTGGAGGTAAGCAAAATATTTAATGTTATTTTACCAACTATACAGAGTGATCCATTTAACATTGACCAGCAAATATCTTATCTTATCTAATATGTGTCTTTACGAGCCATCATAACCGCTGCAATTAACTACCTGTATTACAAGTCTACCCGTTTTATACATATATATAGGTAAAAAAAATCAAAATTTTAAAGTGAAATAACATGCACACTAATCGACTTAAATGAAAAATTCAAACGCTAAAAATTATAAAAAAAAAAACTCTATCAATATATCTAACTAAAAATATA